AGAGTCATAACTATAAAGCTCTGCAATTATAGAGCTCTATAGAGTCACAACTCTAGATCTCTGCAATTATAGAGCTCTATAGCGCCATACATATACAACTCTATTTACCTATACATCTGTCATACGACTTTTCACATTTGCGAAAAAATTACAAAGTCGCGTGTTTTTATAATCGCCGACGCGTTAACGAGCGCAGGAGTTACGAGCTCCATGCACGTTTCAGGTTTCTCTTTCACTCTCAGCCTCTCTCGTTTCGAGCGCGCCAATTATGAGTCTCATTCTCGATGCAGAAGAGGTCACTCGAAACGAAAAGTCATTTGCCAAAGGTGTCAAGAGCCCCGCAAAGGAGGGGGAGAGGGGTGTTTTGGCACACACGCTCGCGTGCCCGAAAGTGGATAATCGAGGTTCGATCGTTGCGCACCGGGATATATCTCGATGGAGCTCGCCCCGAAATTAAGAAGCGCCGTATTAGTTTTCAATCTCCCACCCCTCTGTCCCCCTTCGATTCAAGCGCCGCCTTAAAAAATTCGCTGCATCGACGTCTCCGAAGCGAATCCACTAAAATTAATATTTAAACGTCAACCGGCCTTTCGTTCTATATTTATTTCGATGTCAATTGCTCCTCGATTCGTTTGCAAATTTAATTTACGATCTTCCCGATTTGCAAAAATTTACTCTGTAAATATCTCGAAGAGAATCTCCCGACACGAATATATCGATTCCGATTGTACTTGCCCCTACAATTTATATTTTCCACTAACTTTTTCTTTTTTTTTTTTTTTTTTAAATATTATCGACGGTCTCCGAGTGCCAAAAAACTTGCAGAAATGGACACCTTAAACGTCCCAAAGAAAATCTCCCAGAATAAATATCTGAAAGTCAACTGTTTTTGTTTTTTTTTTTAACCGCCTTTCCTTCTCTGCAAAGTATTATCGACGGTCTGTTATCGTCCAGGCCGGCTGTTAATGTTTTACAAAATTTCCAGGAATTTTTCAGCGGCCCGCAGGGCGGTCCGTACGACGACATAATTAAATATCCGCGCGGTAATTAACGAGGTAGACCGAGACGCCATTAGGCGATCGTTGAACCGCACAGTCACGAGCGACACGCGAAAAAAGAAGCCGACGCGTGCAGTTGTCATGGTCGTTCTCGGGCTTTTTACGAGCTCCGGGGGTGGAAATACCCCCGTGTCGCGTGAGGATGGCAACCCTTTTCGCAAAATCACCCGCAGTTGTCGAACAGGAGGCATAAATTGTCGCGGATAAATTCGGGAAGGCGAAGAATTCCTTGCTGCGAACATTAGGATCGCTCCGAAATAAATAATGCAATTTTTTGAAATAGTCTTCATTGGTTCCTGTGCTTGCAACGTTTTGCACAAATTGGGGTATTACGATCTGATAAGGAATTGATGATGATAGAGGTGTTTAGGAAATTCTAGAGGCGTCTAGGTGATACTAGAGGTGACCAGAAAAAGTCTAGAGCCATCTACAAAAATTGTAGAGGCCTCTAAAAATGTCTAGAGTCGTCCAGAAAAATTTTAGAGTCATCCAAACGATTTCAGGGGCTCCCAGAAAATTCAAGAGCCATCAAGATAATTTTATAGCCATCTAAAAAAATTCTAGAGGGCTCCAAAAATGTCTAGAGTCATCCAAAAAAATTCAAGAGCCATCAAGAAAAATTTGGACCCATCTAGAAAAATTCTAGAGGGCTCCAAAAATTTCTAGAGTCATCCAAACGATTTCAGGGGCTCCCAGAAAATTCAAGAGCCATCAAGATAATTTTATAGGCATCTAAAAAAATTCTAGAGGGCTCCACAAATGTCTAGAGTCATCCAAAAAAATTCAAGAGCCATCAAGAAAAATTTGGAGCCGTCAAGAAAAATTTGGACCCATCTAGAAAAATTCTAGAGGGCTCCAAAAATTTCTAGAGGCATCCAAACAATTTCAGTGGCTCCCAGAAAATTCACGAGCCATCTACAAAAATTGTAGAGGCCTCTGAAAATGTCTAGAGTCATCGAGAAAAATTCTGGAGGCTTGTAACAATTTCTAGAGTAATTCGGAAAAATTCTAGAGGCATCCAAAAATTTCTAGAGGCCCCCAACAAATTACAGAGCCACCCAATAAATTGAAAAAAAAAAAAAAAAAACTGTCCTACTCACTGTGAGCATAGTGTGCAGCGGCGGCAGGGTGGTGTGCGGTGGGTCCAGCGTGGGGGTAGTATCCCCTGTAGTCAGTGGGGTTGCCTACAACTCCGCCGACCCCCGCGCCCCCTGATGGCGGCTCCAACGTAGACCTGGGGGGCTCATACCACCTAGCCGCGCTCGACTCGCTGCTCATGTCCATCTTGTCGAGACTTGTCCTCTTCTAACGACCGTTCCTCCTCCTCCACCTCCTCCTCCACGTCCTCCTTCTCCTCCTCCTCCTCCTCCTCCTCCTCCTCCTCCTCCTCCTCCTCCTCCTCCTCCTCCTCCTCCTCCTCCGCCTCCTCCGTCTGCGATCCGAAGATCTTTTAACGGGGGTTGCTCAACGGAGGCGAACCAGAGGGTAATTAGGGGAGTGGGGGGAACAAGGGGGAGTGGAAAGGGATTAGGACCGCTGGTTAAAACGCCTCTCTTCCGGAAGCGTGGTCCTCCTGAGGACCTGAGAGGAGGTCATAGGTAATCCTTGAGAAGAGCTGACGATCGCCAGGAAAATCTCAAGCTGTCACCACGGCTTCTGCAACAGAGAAACAATATTTCGCAATTAGGCATCAGATTGTAGCGTTCCAGGAAGATGGAGACGTGGTTATTGAATGTAGGCTCGTTGAAAAGGGACTTTAGGGGTATACAGAAAAAATACGATGGCACCTAGACATTTCTAGAGGTATCTAAATAATTCTAGGAGCATCTAACCCAATTCTAGAGCAATCCGGAAGAAAATTTAGAGAGATTTAGGTAATTCTAGAGACATTCAGAAAAATTGTAGAGGCGTTTAAGTCACTTTTAGAGGCATCTCGATGGAATCTAAAGGCACCTGGACTAGAGACATCTGGGCAATTCTAGAGAAACCTAGAGAGACTGTTTAGGCAACAAATAAAAATCTAGAGGCACCC